ACCTTTAAAAAAAAACCCTTCCGCCGAGTGGTTTGTTCTCTCTGGAAATACAAGAAAATTAACCAGAAAATACATACGGAAAGAAGCCCGAAGCACTCATAAAAACAGAGCCCTTAACCATCCTTAACCCAGGGACACCCAGAACCTTCAGGAACCCGAAGAAAAGCCTCCGGTGCATCAAACCTGACGTCCAGAAGCCCTAGAGCCCATCAGCCTTGAGCGCTATATCCCGTCATAAGGACAGCGAGAGTGTTTGCAGTGGCGGCCCCAGCCACGCCCCGAATTGCGCGCTGTGCATTGACAGTTTCGCAGGTGAAGGAAATCCCAGCGACCATGAAGGCCCAGCGACTTGCTATCAAGCCCGTGTCACTGCGGAGCGGCGACTAGTGTCTGAAATTTGCTCGCAAGGCTGAGCTTCAGATCCTGCGAGACCTACAGCACGCTACCACCTGAGCGCTATGAGCTGGCAGCATTGCATCCTGCGTGACGACGTGTTGGCATGAATTCTTTCCTTCGCACTGAGACACATGTTGCGAAGCTCCACGGAGCATGGGAGGAGGGCATGCTGGAGCCCCAGCACTCCCCGGTCGACAGCTGAACTACCCTTTTGATTCCATGTTGAGGTGCATCTACCTCGTGATGGACCTCTACAATCAGGACCTCTCTCTGATGCTGAGAGTGCCTTGGCATGAGAAGTTGTGGGCACTCGGAGTGGTCTTACGTGTGCTAGATGGATAGCCTTGGGCTGCGTTCTATTGAGATCTGCTCTGGGCCTAGGGTCTTCCTGCTTACAACTCGGACAAGCTTCGGTTCTAACTTTCAACAAACTATTTCAAGCAATGCCTGAAGGGTGTAAATAAAGGACCCGGTTTCTGGCGAAGACTTGCGCATGACAACCGGAGACAGCTCAAAAAACCCTGCGAACCTGAGCAGGCTGGCGCTGTGCCTGAAGAACGTGCGCTCTGTATCTTCGAGCAGCTGATGTCGGAAACTCAATCCATGCAGCGTCCTCTAGGATTTAGGGTCTAGGAGTGGTCTAGGGTCTAAGGGTTGAGGGTTTAGGGTTTAGGAGTACAGTCCAGGATTGAGGGTTTAGGGTTTAGGGTTTAGAGCATCCCCTTGTTTGTTTGGGAATGAAGGAATCAACCATCTTAAAGGGTATCTGGTGTGCATTGCGCTCAGGACTGCAGTCGCTTTCATACATATGAAGGGTGTCTGCCACCGCGACATTAAGCTTGCGAATGTCATGGTCCAAGGCACCCAGGACGTGATCTTGCCTCTGTGCCCTTGTTTGCTTGCTGCCACTGGTCTTATAGTAGAATAGTTTTGCAGTGTGAAGGACCTTCACGTCAGGCTTCTGGATTTCGGTGCTGCGGCATACTACAACAAGCGGCAGCTCACGACCACGGTGCCTTTGAGCTGACACTCGAGTTCTCTTCTGTTCAAATTACGATTGCTAGCGCGACTTCTGTTTTTAGATGTTCGCTGCATTCTCTTGCAGCTGTTGACGTCATTGCATCGTTGGCTTTCGTTGACTGCAGGTCTTCACAGCACAGTATATGGCTCCGGAGATGTTGACAGGCACGTGCCGCCGACTCACTTCTCCTGCATCCAGCTTTCGAGTTGCGTGCTATGTTTTGGGAGGTGTGTATGACCATAGAATAGACATGTGGTCAAGCGGTGCCGCGGCCTCAGGATCTGAGTCTAACGGGAGGGCACATTTTGCAGTCTCTTTTTGTTGGTCTGGTCCTCTGGCCCCTGGTCACCTGGTCCCCTGATCCACCTGGAGTCGGGTTTTCCGGTCCTTTTGGTCCTCTCACCCATGAAACACCCAATGGCCCGTCCTGAAACGAACATTTTCAGCACTGCAGCGCCCACGCCGAAATTCCAGCACCGAAACGCCCTTCACCTTAGAAAACTGTTGGCCGTCAGGCCGCAGGTTATGCACTGATTGCATGTCTTCAAGAGGGGCGGATGGAAGCATGGCAAGGAGGGTTGATGGCGCGTGGAATTTTATCATGCAGCAACATGTTGGTAAGTCTCTGTGCTGTTTGCTGCTGTTTGCTGCTGTTTGCTGCTGTTGTCCTTTCAGCTATGCAAAGCGTTGCCTAGACCTGACCTCACGGCGTGTCAAGCATCTGAGCCTCTGGCTCCCGTGCTTGCAGCACACCGTGAAGTCCTTCCAGCAACACTCCTCCTTGGGCTTCCCTCATGGCGTGTCAAGTGTCTAAGTCCTTCCAGCAACACTTCTCCTTGGGCTTCCCTGCAAAATTGGCTCACACTATGAATTAAGCGGGCTAGTTTCTTATCAACTCACCGTCGTCCGAAGACCATCTCCAGGACACTGAGCTCTGCTCAAGCTTTCCTCCAATTCTCCATCCACCTGGAGGTCTCCGTTCTGGTACTCACTTCACCCCAAACCAGGTGATGTCGACCAGACACATTCCAATGTCGCCAAATGTAGAGGACGTAGCGAAGCTGTCTTGTCGATGGCAGCATAGACCCTGAGGGAGGCTCCTCAGCTCCGAAGTAGTCTTTCAGCCTCTCAGCCAAGTTCTCGAACGTGGGCACGTCTCGTGCCATTGGAAGTCTGTCCCCAGGACCACCTGTGCTTCGGCGAACTTCAGTTGGCACATCCGAAAACACCGGGGGTGATCGGGCTAACAGCCGCTTCGTTCCGTCTTCTCAGTGTAGTCATCCTCGGAGTTCGGGGGGCCTCATCGTACTCGGCTCTAGGCTCTAGCCTCAAAGGTTGATGTTGACGCACCCATGGGGCTGGTAGTTGCAGTGGCCGCAGTTTGAGCTGCAACCTCAGTTTGAGCCGCTTGCGACGCCAAAGTCCTCACTTGCTCCAGTCGCGCTGTCCTTCTTGTAAGTGCCGCCTAAGCAGCCACTGGTGCGCAACCTTTCCAGCCTCCCATATGGCTCTCGCCGCCACGCAACCAGCACAGTAACGCACATGAGCTCGAAAGACTATACAATCATCGTCGATTGGCTGGCCGGTTGCAGGTACAAGCATAGAGGCAACAGCAAGGATGGCCGCCGCAATCTTCGTCTGAAGCTTAGCCATTATCTTCGAGAAGCAGTTGAGCTGGGTGTGTTGGAAGTCCGACACTCCCCAGCGGCGCATCAGCTGGCGGACCTAGCAACCGAGGTTATGTCGAAGAGTCGATTATGTCAACTCTTGGAACTTGAAGGTGTTGTTGGTTGCAAACTCGCTGAAGGGTTCGGCCCTAATCTTCAGATGCCTCGTCCGTTGCAAGCCTGGGCCTCCACTGCACATCGCTGCCGGTATTGTCGATCGCCAGCACACTCTTGTAAACGCCTGGAACCGGCTCATCCAGCACAGCGCCAATTGAGTCCAGGAAGTTGCATCCTTGTGTTGCAGCATATAGCTCGGCTTCCATCACACTGAGAGTAATGAAGCTTTGTCTCCCAGCCTTGCAAGCGATTGGCGCACCGTCCTGAACAATCGCAGCAGCGCAAAGCTCCGTGAACCATAGGGTACGCAACTGGCGTCGGTGTAGCAGATAGGCTCCCTGGCCTGGCCCTGCTTAGGCGACATTCGAAGTCGCGCACCAACAGAAACCTTGAGTTCCTTTCGAATGCCTTGAAAGGTACAGGTCCAGAAAAAATCTACCCCCGCAACGCCCGCTGCAAATCTTGGGGCAAGATCTGCGCAAGCGCTCTCAGTGCCGGCAGCGATTTCATCGTGCGTCGGCTCCGAATGAAGTTGGTCATAAGAACCTACAGGAACAATGACATGAGAAATTTAGATTTCGACAAACACGGCCTTTTCCGAAGTTGCAGGCGCTTGATGTCTGTCTCGACACGGCGCTTGTAAACCTTGTTCTCCTTCTTGCCGTCCTTCTCGATCTTCACTCGACCGCCCTTCTTCTTCGTCTGGCGAGGGACATCGCCTGCGACGATAGGGAACTTGTCGTCTTCTTTCTCGATCTTCACATGAGGCTGGATCTCCTTCTTCACTCCCTGCTCGGCGACCTGCTCGGCTGTCTTTCCTCTGACCCGACGTAGCACCGGCATGACCCTGCCTCGGCTGAGCTAGCGCCTGCCGCCATGAAAGCAGCGGGCAAGACTACTTAAGTAGAAAACCTCCGCGAGGCAGCAGCTGCAACTCGCAGAATGTGACAAAACAACGACAGGTCTCTGTGCTTCGCCTGGCCAATGGCCGAGACCTTGGCCTGCTTATGGCGTCTGGCCACATTCCAGTACAGTTGTCCGCCTGAGCCCCCTTGGCCTGCTTATGGCATGTGGCCACATTCCGGTACAGTTGCCCGCCTGAGACTCCCTGGCCTGCTTACTGCGTCCGGCACAGTCGCCGGCCAACATTCCGGTACAGTTGCCTCCCTGGCCTGCTTAGTGTCCTGAATCTCGTACTCCCTGGTGTCTGCCTGTGGTCCTCAATGCTGTACTGCCTTCTGTCCTGAGGGTCGCGTCGCAGGATGTGCGTCGCCGCTCTGTCCTTAAATCTAACAACCCCACTTGTCCGGTGGGGAAAAAGGATGACAAATTTCAAAGCAAAACAAACAAAACGCAACACAGAAGGCACCGGATGCGAGAGCTAGGAGGCGTGACGGCAGGGCGGTGCATCATTGCTCCTGACGGAGGTCCTTCTGTTCTGGCGGCAGTTCGAGCCAGTTTCTGCATGGCAGTGGATTTCTGCCATGGGCCGTTCGTTCTGCCCTTACGTGCTCTCATTTCATCAACTTTGTCCATCGTCTCGGATTCATTCGAGGCTGGTCGCCAGCCTGATGGTCAAGGAGGTGGAGACAAGGATTGGGGCGGCTGAGGCCAGGCTTCGTTTTAAATGTTAAACAAAGTCCAGCATGGTAGAGACTCGGAGGTTCTGCAGCAGATGGCCGAAAGGCCAAGCAATTCAGGCGGGGTGGCCGACAAAAAATCAGGGCATCTGAAATTTCCGCGGTGCATAAGCTTTTTTCCAAAAACAGAGGCTCCAGCACAGACAGGGCAAAAAAGCGTACATGTAATGTGGACTGTCCAAGCACTTCTGGAAGATGCACCCTGTACTTGAGGTGGGCAACAGCTACAGGCACGTGTCTCCCAGCGAGGTGCAAGCTCGCGCCGAACGTGGGCATTATGGCTCCCAAGAGCCGCAACCCGGCCTTGAACGAAGCAACACTAAACTGCGCAAAGACCAATGTGCTCCGAAGGGGGATCTGGGATACATGCGCCTCATGCGCAAACAGCGCATTCAGGTCTGGCCTTCGCCAGATGTTGTGGAGTGCATGGGTGCCAAGGATGTCTTGTGCAAGGTGGCCGGTCTGAGCATTGGCTTATCTGACACCTTGGCTTACACGACGGCTGATCATTTTTCTTTCTGCTTCAGAAAGACGATGGCCTTTCAGCCTCGTGTCGTCCAAGCGAGCAGATGCACTTCCGGCGAAGGTATGTGGACGATCAAGCTCATGGCAGGCAATTATTGCCGGATTTATGGGGAGAGGGCTTGCGCCGATGATGAGGTGCTGCATTTGACGGAGGCCAACGACAATCACTCTGAGCAGCACACCGTTGCAGAATTCATCGAGTTTGTGTCAATGGCCACACAGGCACATCCGGCACTTGGACATCCAAGGGCCTTGGCAAATATCTGGCGGATGGTCCCTTGTTAGACCAGCGCTTCTGCCCTCGCATCGCGGAGGGCGAGCTGCGGTTCAACATGCTGGGCGACGTGCTGGTAAGCATCATCCACCAGACGCCAAACGAGGTGGCAGATGGTACGGGTTCCAACAGCACTGTCTATGCGCCTGAGGCGCCGAGATTCAAGTCCTTGACTGAGAGCTTCCTGAGCCGAGATGTGCACATGGACAAAAGCGCAATGCTCATGTCGAATGCACCCCATGAGTCTTGCTTGCGTAATTCAAGTTGAGCAAAAGGTAGCATGTATTGAAGGCTTCGCTTGCTTCAAGCTTCGCTGCAGTATAGTGCTTCTTAAGCCCGCATGAATCATGCCCCAAAGACTGCCCGCAGCATCTTTGGCGCACGAGTCGAAGTTCCAGAGTTTGCACCAATGGGTGCATCCTCCTCGAGTCCAATCGACCTCCGTGGTCTCACGCAATTCGCCCGACCCGATGGCCTGCTGCCGCAGCCACAGGCCACGATTTGTCGCCAACAGCTCTTGCTTTGGAGTCTCCTTTGCATCAACATGTTCCACTGTAGCGAGGTATATCGAATCGGATCAAGTCCTTGATTAAGTGCATAATCATATTCCGGAAAGGGCGGTTCTGAATGGTGTGGGTCTCGGGGAAGGTTTCCCAGAAACGCAGGTGCCAGATGGCAGTAGCAGATTAACAGACTCTCAAGCCAGGTGCCGGCCTACTTCACAGCTGTGGTGGAAGTCTTGGTGCGCGGCCAAGACAAATGGGACTGCACCGACTCCATCTCCAGCCCGCAGGTCGCTTCAAGGGCTGAACGATTTCAGGATTGAGGGTTTGTTGCGGAAAAGGCCCAGCAGACCCAAGTCAGTTGAGACCACGTTTTCTGTTTGCGAGCATGATGGTCGCTCGACATATGTGTTAAACAGAGTTGTTTCCTGGTGTTGTTTAGGGCAAGTTTTGGGTGAGGTTAGCGACTGGGGGCCTCAATGGGTAGAGAGCAGGGCATAGAAATACACATATGCATATATATATATACATACATATACATATATACGTATTTTTCAGACCCTTGTCACGCCACAAGAACCTTTAATCTTAAAACGTAAGAAGTCTTTAAATTTTTGACATTTCTCAAAATTTGTAAATGTTAAAAATGAAGATAGAAGATTTCTGGAAAACTTTTGCCCAGGAACCTTCAATATTCAGTTTGAATCTTTAAGAACTCTATATGAGTTTTTAAGAGTTCTTAAAAACTAGTCTTGAAAAAGAAGATTGAGGATTCCCGGGGGGCTCTTGCCCAGGAATCTTCAAAATTCAGTTTAACTCTCAAGAATTCTAGACAATTCTTAAAACGACAATCCTGAAACTGAAAACTGAAGATTTCTGGCAACTTGTGGGCGAAATCGTCATTTTCGTCTTAGACGGAAATCGAATATTTCCCACAAGAGTCTCCCAGGAATCTTCAATCTTCAACTCCAGGATTATTTGTTCTTAAGAATGTTTAAGAAATCTCAAGAATTCGTATACACCTGAGTTTGGAGACGAAAACCGAAGATTATTCCACAAAAGTCTCCCAGAAATCTTCAGTTTGATTTTACCTTATCAAACATATCTTAAGCCAACACGCACCAAGAAACAACACAAAACATCTATCCAAAAAATTATGCTTTGGGTAATATATCTCAAGCATTCGTCCCACAATAAACAAAATCTGAACTCTATACTAAACGCTGTACCTTAGCTGACAAATCTTAAGCCATCACGCCCCAAGAAGCAAGACAAAGCACCTATCCTAAAAACTATACCGTATCTAAGATATCTCAAGCAGTCACCCCACGATAGGCAAAACTTGAATTCTGTCACATATCGATATAGTTCGTTTATATGTTGAATCCCAGGAAGTAGTGAAAGGACATTTGCTCAATACGCACGTCCCCGGGATGCAAGCCCTACAAACACAGGCATAACCCTAACGGATTTAAGGTCAGGTTTAGGGAATTAAGTCTCAACCCCTATCGGGCTACACGGTTCTATCGCATCGGTACTGCCAAACCTTCAACCCAAAGCCTTTCAACCCTATAGGGTTCAATGGTTCAAAAGCCTAAGGTTTGGGCATGTCTACCTTCAGCGCCCTTTAGGGTTAAAACCTTTGAACTTCCAGAGCCCTATAGGGTTTTAGGGTTCTGACCCTGAACGGTTCAGGGTTAAGGTTTAAAATGCCCGAACCTTAATGTGTTCATGTTTAAATTCGTTTAGGTTTAATTCCGGGCTTAGGTTTAGATGCTTAAATCTTGAGCCCTAAACCCTAAACCCTAAACCCTATAGGGTTTAATGGTTAAGGCTTGACCGTATAGGGTTTCGCGGGTGTACCGGGGGGAAGGGTGATGTCCGGGTCTAGGGCCTATACGGTCAACGTTAAGACTTCACCCTTCATTCTTCTGTGTAGGGCTGCAAGTCAGCGGCTCAGTGCAGCAGGATCGGCGGTGGCTTGGCTGCTGCAGCGGGGTGCCCCGGTGGCCGCACTGTTGCCCGAAGAGCCAGGTGCGGAACCGGATGGGGCAGGCTTTGGAGAATGACGGAATCTGAGTGACTGAGCAGCAGAGGTCCAGCGGCCCTTGGCATCCGACTCCGCGGACTGAAGCTGCTGCAGGCTCTGGGCACAGCGCCAGCTGTGACCGTCCCTTTGACTCCGTGTAGGATCTGGGGCAGCAGGCCGCACCAGCAGCGGCATCCATAGCAGGCCCGGCGGGCCGTATATCATTAATTCTTTCGATCTTATCAAGCTGCGGAGGGGAGAGACGTTTTGTGTCTTCACCCTGCACGGGGCTGACCACAGAATCCTAAAGATGCCTAGAACCTCAGAAGCTGCACTCCAGTCAGTCTTCCACCCGATTGTCTCTGGCTTGAGGGTGAACGAGGAGGTGAAATGTGCAACTGGAGGATCTCAGCATCGCATGGCGTCATGATCCGCTTCAGCCATGTCTCCGACATGACATCTGTCAACTCGATGGGACATCGGCTGTCTGGTCTGCTCATGGCCCATGTCGCGACATGTTGCATGCTAGCTTCTGAGGAAGGACACGGCAGACAACGTACGGGAAGGGCAGTAGGCATATAGACATGCCAACACGGTTCAGCTTTCAACAAGTATCCTCCCGTGCGAGGCTGCCTGCGCGATCCAGAGGAACTCGGGGATGTGTGTGTGTGTGTGCGCGTGGGCCGGGCGGCTGTTTCTTTATAGGCAAAAGCAGCAATGTGATGGCGAGGTTCGTGGTCGGCGTGCTGCCGCAGAGGTGGACCGCCCAGCGGCACAGTATGACAGCGATGCCCAGCGCTTGGCGCTTGAGGCCCTCGCCGCGCTGGAGGTGACCGGCGACGTGGCACCTCGCGCGGTGCCCCGGCTTCGCAGGCTGCTGGAGCAGGCTGCGAAGCCGGTGAGAGAGCTGGGTGCACGGCTGGGTGCACGGCTGGGCGCAGGAGCCGGACCCGCAGTGCCCAGCACTTGGAGGGAAGACGTCGGAAGAAGAAGCAGAGTGGGGCCCGCCGGCCCCAGAGCACGAGGTCGGGTAGCAGCAGCCCGCGCCCTGGGCTCCTTGGGCAGAGACGGCTGCTTGGCCGCTGAAGAAGCTTTGTGGCACCAAGGCCTGGCCGCCAGGGCCGTAGGTCCACGTGTCACAAGACGTGTGTCAGAAGACGTGTGTCACAAGACGTGTCACGACGTCTGCCAGACCTGGATGTGCGTGGTCTCGCTTGCGTGGCACTAGAAGCTTCCAAGGAGGCGCAGGGTGCCGCGACCGCATTCGCCGCATGTTTAAAAGGATGCCACAGGGTGTGGCAACCGCCAGGCTCAACAAATCAGGAGGGGCCTGAATGAACAAGAGAGCCCCATCCCCTCCCCCTCTTCCTCTCCCTGTCCCTCGCCCTCTTCCTCCCTCTCCCTCTCCGGCTCCCCGCTGTCGCTCCCCGCTCCCGCTCCCCCTCCTCACGCTCCTGCTCCCTCTCTCCTCTCTCTCTTTCTCTCTC